ACAAACACTTTGACTGGAAACCGGGCATTGACACATGGACCGTCATTCTCAAGGGTTTGGCACTCTAGGCTGAGCACGCCCACTTGCTTTTCGCGGACATTCGATATTTTTCAAGTTATTTCATATTTTATATTTTCGACATTCTTTCGATATTTTCATATTTTTTTCTCCGCCCATTCTCTAAAGGGTTTCGCAGTCTACTCCGATCTCGACCACGCCGGCTTGCTTTTCGCGGAATTTTGATATTTTTCCAAAATTTTTGCATTTTAGGGCTGCTGCGTGAAGCCCTGTGAGATGCTCCGCCCACTTTGAAGAAGCCCCGCCCACTTTTCAAAAATGGTGCAAATCGGCAGTATAGAGCCTTGGCTTGCATGCTAGGGTATTGCTGATCATTCGGAATAAACTTTGCCGGATTTTCTTGTTCCGAGTGACGAACGAGACCCTAGCATGCAAGCCAAGTCTCTATACTGCCGATTTGCACCATTTTTGAAAAGTGGGCGGGGCTTCTTCGAAGTGGGCGGAGCCTCTCACAGTGAGCCCTTTAGAGAATGGGCGGAGTCGGCCATGTGTCAATGCCCGGTCGTTTCCAGTCAAAGTGTTTGTGGGAAACAGCAAAAGCAGAAGTTATGAAACAAGATTTGAGAATCTATGTCCGCGCTGACAAGTGGGCGTGGCTCGCAGTGATGTCTGGCGTGATCTGGTTGATGAGTTGCCCGCCCTAATAAGTGTGGTTAATTTGATGTGAAAAGTGAGGGTGAATTTGGTTTGAAAAGGGGTGAATTTGGTTTGAAAAAGGGTGAATTTAAAGTGAAAATGGTATATTTGGTTTGATTCTCTATGCTCGTACATGACGTAACATGCTATGCTTGTAGACATTCTAAGAGCTTCCCTGCAAAGAGAAAATCCATTCTAGCAGTCCAAACCGGGCATGTATTCCGGAAGGTTCTCCTGTGCTGCTCCTGGGACGCGGGTGTGATACTGCAGAACGAGCTGCCCTCTAAGAACAGACGGTCATCGCTACCATTTGTGTCGCTCAGCTCCTGAAACCGGTGGAAACTGTTGGTAAAACATGACCGAAACTAGCTTCGGGTCACCTCGTTCGTAGTACACGAGACCCCATACCTGCTATGAAGACCTACCAAATGATTGAGGAGCAAGGCTGGGAGACCAGTCCCCCCGCTCATGATATTCTCCCGACGTAGTCCCCTACGACTGCTACCTGCTCCGCCTCCTTGAGGCTTTCTTTAGCTAAGAAAATTTCAAGCAACTTTGATGACATCAGTCGAGAGGGCGCTGATTTACTCTACTCGCAGCCTTCTCAGTTCTGGAAGGAGGGGAATGCTTACCTGTCCATTTGGTGGACCACTGTACTGTTGACTAATTCCCCACTGCATGTCGAGTTAGAAAATAAAAAAAGTCACAATAGTGACAAGACTTTCCTTCCAACCTATATATACCGAAGTAGGTGGAAAGTCTCCAATCAGATCTCTACCAAGGAGACTAAAACCTGATGAAAAAGCCAGATCTTTACCAGTTTCAGGGGTTTTCGAGCTGGGTCACTCCTCCTTCGATGATATTAACTTCAGTGGCGGAGGACGCTAGGGAAAACGTCACTCCTAGACGACAACTAAGCACCATGGAATCGGAAACTGGATTTTCGGATGTTAGGTATTCCCTATCCCTAACAATCCAGTCTCAGACCCACCACTAGCTTGTCCACATACTAACCTCTATAACTAGCAGCTCCCTGGGTGAAGGCTCTTGAGGTTCAAATGGCAGTCATGCCGACCAGAGACCTCTTACCTATGGTACAAGTTCAACTAAAGAAGATGTAAGATTGCACAAGAAAGTAGTGACGAAACAAACAAAGAAAACAAAAAGGAAACAAAAACATAAGGGTTAATATTTAAGAAATTAAAAAAGTAAATATCGCGGCTTTTCTTTCTGTACGGATGGACTGCGGGATGTGAGTGACATTGCCGAAGGGATGACTGATTGACGTAACTCACTGAAATCATGGAACTGAAAGTCCAAGCTGGTTAACACAGGTGGATCTCAGCAATCTTGAACACCTAGAATAGACAGCAAATCAACTTTCCTCAGTTTGCTTTTGGAAGTGCTAGAAATCTTACTGCGTTGTTTTTCTCTAGTTTAGGGCACTGCAGAGAAAGCTTGGAGTTACGCCCTCTACAGGGCCCAAATGTCCAGTACTTCGCTCAGCCAGTCTTAGTTCGCCTTTCAGCAATTTGAAACAAAATAGTATGTCATTGAAAACACGCCGGTAAAGAAGTGTCTTGAGCCCAAATCTATTCAGTCGCTCTCTGTAATCAGGCATACAAAGGCGATAAGCTGGATTTGGGTCTCACCGTTGCACCAGTATTCTCGTGGCACGCTGTACCTTCTCTATTTTTTCCTGAAGCTTTTTTGTACAGGGGCTCCATATTTGTGACCCGTATTCTAGAATTGGAACAACGTAAGCCTTGTAAAGTTTTAAGAAAGTTGAGGCATCGTTGTAGTGAAATGTGTTGCAGTGTTATTATATGAAGCGGTCGCGGTGCTGCATAGATACAGGGGCAGTTGATTAGGCGGTCAAAGGGTCGCAGACGCGGCTGCGGCGCGTCACGACCGCGGCGATCAGCTGTTTCCAGCCTATTTAGCCATTTTCTCCCTAATTTTCACTGTATTATTTATTTCTTCCAAGGTTAGTTGTTTTTTGAGCAAAAATTAGAGAAATCTCAATCATAATTTACCTTGTGAAGACAAGGAACAACTAACCTTAAGAAAAGCAGCCAAAAACAGTGAAAATTAGGGAGAAATGGCTAAATAGGCTGGAAACAGCTGATCACCGCTGTCGTGACGAGCATGAGGACTGTATACGAGTGTATACGTACAGCCGTGCCTACCGTAGCGGTTAATGGCACGATGCCTGCGGGAAACTCGTCCGAAATTGCTTTCTGAGTCATGAAGAACGAAGGCTTTTCTTCGCAGTTTTTGACCGTTTCACTTCGTTTTTTCGCCATTTTCCCACTATATAGCGCCCTGCTAGCATTTCAGACGAGTACCCATTCATTGTGCCATATGCCTTCGAGGTAGAGTGTTGACTGGAAAGATTTAGTGGACTTCGCTGTTCAGTAAAAAAACGGGAGCGATGAAGTTGCTGGTGTTCATTGGACGATCAGCGTGTAGACTATCTGCGATTACTTTTTTTACATAGCCAACTGCAAGTCATATTGTTTTGTATGATGAGGTGCTCACTAGCTGCTTCAAATGTTACTTCTACTCAAATATGACGAATATCGCTTCCTGCACGCATTGCTGATTTCTTTGGCTGACTCTAAATAGAATAGATACTCGTCACAAAATTGCCTTCCGCAACTTGTGCTTCGTATTTGCCCGGTTTCTACCCGCGAGAAAATTATCTTCAGAGAGAGTTCCACACCTTGAACATGATAGTCTCATCCGTTTGACAAGAAAGCAGGGTTTACGACAAAACACTTTAGGTCACGAACTTCCTCTAAGCAGCTGTTACCAAGGATATATTGATCTTGTTAGCATCAATATCAGCTTTGCTGGAGGCGAAGACGCTTGGCATACAAGCCACAGACGACCACTGCAAATCCTCTGACGACCATGTCGTCAGCCTTCAGCGTTATACGGTAACGATTCCATGGACAACCATTATGGTATTCATACTAAAAGTCAGACGTGAACAGGACGTTTCGGAAGCCAAATATATGTGACACTGTGCACAGAAGGGCAAAATCAGGGCACACCCTTCCTTTGGGGGAGTTTTAGTAAAATATCGCCCTTCGAAATTTCCTCCTCCTTAAAAGTACGGTCCGCGCTCGGGTATAGAAGTTGAAAATATGGCGTCAGGAGGTTAGAGTGGTCCGCGACGAACAACCTTGTACCGGTTTCGCGGCAAAAAATTCTAAGGGAGGGGCGCTGTAGCGCAATATAGGTTCAGTGACGCCTCCTTTTTTCCGGCGACTCCGCCGTTTAACTCCGCCCTCAGGGCCCGCCTTTTAGGACGAAGCTGCTCTACGAAACAGCATGAGAATAGTCACTTCTTCAAGGGTCCGTATCGTGGGAACAGCTGTGCGGACGAGGGCGCAGTGTTGAAGACGGAGGTAACTGGGCACTTACAAACGGGGATCGAAATTCTAGTTTTTGACCGGGGTTCTATTTAGACCAGTTCCCATGTTCTTTCTGCTTTTTTTTCTACACTTTAAGTTACCCAGCACCTCATCTTCTATGTCCAAACCCCTGATCCACTACCTGTGATGGGGAATTATCGCGGACTTTGCCTTTAAAACCTCTTCCCTTCCCGTACCACATCAGAGAAGTCGACACAACCCGAAACATTTTTCTCACGATCAAATGCCACCCCCTCCCTCAAGGGATCAAGTATGACCTCCCCCTTCTCTCGCTGGATATGCCCAACACACATCCTGGTCGAAATACTTCGGAAAAAGAATTTCTAGAGTAGAGTCAGCCAAACCCAGAAAAGACGTTCTCTAATGATTAGACTTTCCGTTTTGCCCTAGCAACTTCATTTCTGTTATTTTCATCTTCGACATATGCTGTGAACTACGGGGCAGGGCACAACCGTTCATTCAACTTATGCCGAGTATTCACGCGCATTGAAGACTAGCGCCACACCTCTCATGTCAACAAACACATTATCAACTCTAAACACACGAGGACATCTGCAACCGCGTACAAATAAGAGGACGAAAGAGAACAGATGATTTCTATAACAACAAACTGAATCAGCGGATCCTAAACCTTATGGGGCAAGAATTCAAGCAGAATACAATCACCGCTTCAAACCACAAAAACGGCTACAAAATCAAATAAAATTCACAAGAATAGCAAAGCACAAACAATAACACCCAACAATACTATATAGAAATATAAATATCTCAAAAAGTTAGAGATCGTAAAAAACGAAACACGCTCATTATTACTTGTAAAGGTCACAATAGGAAAGACTGCTCTTAGTAAGGATTCCCGCTTTTTCTATTCTTTTTCTTCTCCTTTTTGTCTTTGACTTTATCAGAAATATTCTTCATATCTTCTTTGGCTTCCTTTTTCTTCTCAACTTTACCTCCTTCAGGTCTACAATTAACTACTATTTAGATGAGGATCGAACTTCGATGACAAAGCTAAAACTCAAAGCTACTGCAACCGCTTTACATTACCCACCTCAAGTCAACCGTCTTCACAACTATCTTTCCATCCTCTCCTCCTGTAACTAGCACACGATTGTTGAAGGCAGCACTTCGCACAATGTCCGTATGACCCTTCCACTCCATAACAACTTCGGAGTGCTTTCCATCTTTTGAAACTGTACGGACATAGAGCTAAACAGTAACACTGACTTGACTTACGAACTGGGGATGTGGTGTAATGGACACTTACAGTGCCTTCCGGGTCACACTCGATGAGCGCGACAGGGCGCTCGTCTACACCACCCTTTAGTGCGTCCACTAGGAACCGTCCTTCAGTCCCGTTTCGCCTGGAAACTTGCAAGGAAATCTGATGTACAAGAACAGAACAGGATTACAGGCACTACTTACCCTTCACTGCCCCCTACACCCAGAACCACGCCACTTTTCTACCGGCCAGATTTGAACATAAATGTCTAGGAAAATTTTGACATCCTGAACACGAATGCCACATCCGCTCGGCTTGAGCCTCATGATGTCGGCGCCAAAACACCCGTAACTAGCACACGATTGTTGAAGGCAGCACTTCGCACAATGTCCGTATGACCCTTCCACTCCATAACAACTTCGGAGTGCTTTCCATCTTTTGAAACTGTACGGACATAGAGCTAAACAGTAACACTGACTTGACTTACGAACTGGGGATGTGGTGTAATGGACACTTACAGTGCCTTCCGGGTCACACTCGATGAGCGCGACAGGGCGCTCGTCTACACCACCCTTTAGTGCGTCCACTAGGAACCGTCCTTCAGTCCCGTTTCGCCTGGAAACTTGCAAGGAAATCTGATGTACAAGAACAGAACAGGATTACAGGCACTACTTACCCTTCACTGCCCCCTACACCCAGAACCACGCCACTTTTCTACCGGCCAGATTTGAACATAAATGTCTAGGAAAATTTTGACATCCTGAACACGAATGCCACATCCGCTCGGCTTGAGCCTCATGATGTCGGCGCCAAAACACCCTTCAATCAGGAAATCTTACCCTCTGGGGCAGTTCGACGTTCTCAACACGATTATCACATCTGTGCCCAGCAATTTAAAGGAAGGCATGATCATTTGGAACACGGTCTGAAAAGGCAGCGCCTGCTCAGGGGCGCCAAACTCTGTCCTGCTAGGCGTATTAATCTCACACGTTTTGGGGATTTATCGTGACAATTGCCTTAAGTAAGGAATAAAGAGCGTACATGTCGCGCTATCTGCTTCTACTCGTACACACCTTCCCCCAAAATAGCGATCACTTCGCCAAGCAAAAGGAGGGGCCACTATCACAGACAACTGGTAAGGATGCTGCCCTGTCTCGCATTGTCTCCCTAAGGCAGCGTTCAGACTTCGCGACGGCAGCGCTTCGGTCGCGCGATTCGACGATCGATGCGCATGCTTTCGACTGCATTGATCGCGTCGAACGCGCGACCGAAGCGCTGCCGTCGCGAAGTCTGAATGCTGCCTACCTGCCCTGGCACACCGCTCGGCACAAAGCCGATTGCAGTCCGTGCTACGCTAGTTGGAATTGTAACAAGCATGTGGTGCCATCACTTCTAGCGTGTGCTCCAGGCGGTTTCAGACCGAACACTTACGACATTGGCGTCCGGGAGGTCAAACTACATTTGAAAACAAGTTATCAGCGAACTTGGTGATCTCGAACATTTTGACGCTGGCGTCTGTGGCGTGGGCGCCAGGCGGCTTTCGGCCAGGCGGATGCGATATTTGTCTTGAGAAGGTCAAACTGCCCTTGTAGACGAAGTTGTTAGAGACAAATCAAACTATCCTACGAGCTGAACTTAAACTAGTGCAGTAAGGGTACGTAATGCCAGATTATATAAATACTCACATAAATAAGTAGTCCACGTCATCAGGAGTATTAGGAACGAAGACAGAACACTTATTGTCGTCAGTACATGCATAAATAAGACGTTTTGATAGACTTCCAACACGATTTATAGATGAACCGACCTTGACATTAGGGATTGTGAGAAATCGTATATTCTATTCGAAAAAAAAACAACAGCAACAAACCGAGCAGGTACTTTGCAGAGCTTGATCCTCTTTTGAACATGAGGTGTTGAAAATGTTGAGCAAACCGTCCGAACCGCCTGATATGAGGTGTTGCCCGTCTCTCATGAACGCCAACGAGTTGATGGAGTCAGAGTGAGATTCCTTCAAGTAAACTTCATACAAAGGCTTTATCATGGCTGAACGGCAGTAAAGTTTTTGCGCCAGGTTACTAACATTATGTTACTGTGCTTATGTAGCGCGCCCCTCAGATGGACAAATGTAATGAAAATATTTAGTCACTCAAAACATAAGAAAATGAGGTGATCGATGGGATTTTTTGTTTTGCAACAATTCCCTAGTTTTCCCTCGGTCTCTTCAGTATCCTTCCCAAGCTCCTAGCAGTTCGTATGTAATTCAAATTAATCATGATGACATACTAGTAGCTCATATGCAAACTGACAGGTTGTCTTTCAACAGCAGTCGCTTTTTGCCCTTTGATGAGAGCTTCACGCGACCAAGACCCCGATACGCCAATCATCGCCGGTAACATGACCATTCGTCCCTGTATTGCTCAATGGGTGCTCTTTGCTCGAGGGACACGATGCACTTCATACCATTCGTCAGAGCTTGCACGAAGAAGTCTGATCATCGCGTAGGCGTTCGTTCCAGTCGTACAATCAGGTCATAATCGCTCTGGTCCAGCGGTCATCGTCATAATGCATGATGTGCCCGCCTCACTCTGGCAAATGTGGCCGCGTCCCTGATCTCCGATCGTCGTCGGGGTGCGGAGCTCCGGATCTTTTGCTTGGAGCGAAAAACTCCGAGCATCGTTTTTGATGGCGCCTCAAATGGCGGTGACCACATGTTAATCCTGCTTTTGTAACATCTAACTAGGACAATGACAAGAGGGGTTTTAAGGGTTCAGAGCGGTTTTAAGGGTAAAGTGCGCAACTTTCCAGGCGGAATAGGCGTTGCAAACGAGGTGATGTACGCAATATCAGCACTAGGACCCAACCTATTCAACATGGCAGCAGTGCAAGGTATCAACTCTACCTCTTGGGTATGCTCGTACTGCGATGCCGTGACTGCGAAGAAAATCTCCACACCTGATTTAAAGGTTTTTAGAGGCTTCAGGGGTATATTTGGTGTGACGCAACTCGAAATCTTCACAAAACATAAGACCTTTAGGCTCATAAATCAAATATGCCCTCCTTCAAAATAAACAATAAAGAAGCTATTCGGTTTAGAGGAACAGCATTTTGCTACTTTGCTAGTTTCTTGATATTCCTTACATGGGTAAATCGACTTTCTGAAACTGCGAAATGACATGGCCTTCATTTTATATGGCCGTAACTGTAGCTCTACGAGTGTTCAGGCCTTCACAATGTGGCTAGCACGAGCCGGCTGGGACCTACAGATCTCTGCGTCGATGGGAGCTGGTTAAATGCCCCCCCCCCTCATTTAAGCCCCATGACGTCAATAGACTAACCTTGATGGTCAACACAGGATCGGTACACTTCCTGAGATCAAAAAAGGAGATAACATGAGGATTCAAGCTCGGGTCAACCTGAAAAGAATACCACTGAAGTGAAACGATGAAGCTGAAGAGTAATTCACCTCGTCTTCGTTCTCTTGCTCCTCCTCGTCGTCATCGTCGTCGTCATCATCACCTGCTTCTGCCTTCTGAACAAGAGTACTAAAATCGTAATCAAGAGAAATCAGATCAGTGGTTGATATAGATGCTATTACTGAATAGCTAATATATGGTGAGCAATTAGAACATTAGTTAAGAGAGTACCTTAGACTTTTTCTTGTTTTCATCTTCTAATAGGAAAGTTGAGCTACCCAAGGCAATGTACTGGTCGGAACAAGCCGAACAAACAACTTGATGGTTCTCCATCAACGGATTGACCCTGCAACTTGTTTAAGGAGAAACTGGTAGAGAATTTATAGTTTCGGTGAGGATGAAACCAAAGATTCTGTCTGCTCTAATTCCCTACACCGAGGGGCAGTGTTCGAACTGTAAATTATTAGCTTTATGTGTTGAATTCTTTCAGATATAATAGTAATAATACACACACTCTTCACTCAAGCAGCTGCCCTTATTACCCCTGCTTTTCAAAATTTGCTTGGTCCGTTTGTTTGTGTGTCAGGAAAATTGATTTTACCTGGAGAACAACTCAAAGAGATCGGGCCAAGGTTGGGATGGGTATGGCAGTATGGCACGAGACAGTAAGCAGATCACATATGACCCATGCGAACTCCCGCTCACAGGGGAATACGCCGATGGAGGGTGGTGAAGCAGACAAAATTTCATTATTCGGGAACAATGCAGGTCTGAAACGCAAAAAAAATGACTTCTCGTCATTACCTTTGCTTCCTTACCCATCTGCTTTTCTACTTTTCATTTTCAAAGGATTCTTATACCCAGCCGGAGTTCGAGGTGTATTCCGCCAACTTATAAGAATAGGAGCACCGTGTGAAAAAAAAACGAAGTGAGGAACCGCGATGGACAATCCTCGCTTTGAAGAACATCGCTTATCACTTGATAGAGCCACAGTTGGACTTTTTCGGCTTGGTAAAAGAAAGGCCTTATTTGGCCCTCTCGTCTGTTTTCATCTTCAGACAAGCTACTACAGCACAGAAGTCTGGCGCGTAGACATCTCTCTCTCAACGCCGCTGCTAAGTTTCGACAACTTATCGTAGGAAAAATATGCATAAAAATAGTTGAAAACATGTCTTCAAAACATATCGCGTTTGGTTTCATCAGTGGTACAACGTGCACTTTCTCCAAAATTTTCATAGTGGGTACTCACCTCGATTTTTTCTTAGAACCTGCCCTGATGTCGAACAAGTGGATACCAAATGAATCGTCAACTGCTCGAAGAACTAAACATGCGGAATAGATAACACATCGAACCTTCATGCTGACTGAGAACTATAGGCTCAGTTTACATTGTATATGTTTCGAAAATTTGGTCAGACAGTCAAATAGTGCTCGATAATGTTAGGCTTAACGAGTGCGACGAAGCTTTTCGTGCGGGAAATAAGTTCTCAAATATTTCATCAAACGAGACTGCTGTTTTTCGCCATTCAGCTTTTTCAACAAAGAAAGCAGTTCGACTTGTTAGTTGTACAATTTCCGAGCTAAGTTGGGTCTCGGAGCGACTGCCGATGCACTCTAGCCTCCGGGACTTGTAAACTGGTAAAAGACATATCTAGGAGGATGAAAACATTGATTTGTGCATTGATTATCATCGCAAGTCACTATCATATCGTACTCAATAATCTGACGAATGTGAATGGAAGTAAAATGAGCGCCCAAGAATGGACAAAACGGTGACCTGCGGTAACAGCTGATCCCTACTCTTCATTCTCCGGGGTCAGGCGAAACCATGACAGTATTACGGTTTCTAATTTCGTCTACCAAAAACTGTGGCACATCCAGCGTTCACTTTTCAACCGAACGCAAACTGCAGTCTACTTGACCACTTCCATCGACCCAATGGAACGATACAGAAACAATATTGCTATTTTGAATTTTCTAGGAGGCCTGGTTAGAGGTAAGGCGTGACGCATCTTGGAGGGCATCATCAACGCCAAGCTCGAAATTTTTCGACATAAAAGTTTAAAATCTCGAGAAACTTTTAGAAAGCTTACCAGGACTTCCACTCAAATCGAAGTGGATTCCCACGACTCTCTTAGCAACATCCAGCGTTTGCTTTGACTTTCTTGCTTCTAAGTCGACGAGATGAATGAAGTCGTTGCTCAACGTGGCTGCCACTGCATCCCTTCCACCAAACGATATATGGTTCACGTACACCTTGAAAATTTTCAGATCAAAACGCTCAACGGGAAGAAAGTGCAAAGCAAAATGCTAATGTACGAGCAATCTATCTTTCCCCGATCAGAAAAATGAAAATGCCAATAAGCAGAACTGGGACTTACAGCAGTTTCTTTCCAGCAAGGCTGCGTTCATACCTTGCGTTAGCGTTCTGAGCGTTTCAGCGCCGGCGACTTGGAAATATAGGTGTCGATCTAACGTGAGCCAGCATTCGCCAGGAGTGAAGAGCATGGGGAAGTAGGCAGTGTAGTGGACTACTGGATGAGGGGTCGTGAAATTGCGGCGTGTGCAACCGCACCGTACAAATGCTAAAGCACAGAATTGGTTGACGCTGGCGTAGCTAGATCGATACCTGCAATTTTGCAGTCACTGGCGCTGGCGTACGCTCGAAACGCTTGCGTACGCTCACGCGAAGTATGAACGCAGCTTAAGGACAGTGTTTCATGATAACTCATCTGCTTCAGATTTAGTGGCTATGGTTAGAAACGCTCTCGAATGAGGCTACACAACCAAGTGTGACCACTTCTTTGAACTTCGCCACTTCAACGCATCGTCGGGAGCTTGATGGTTCAACTCTCTAGACAGGGAGAGTCAGAGTACCGTGGCTGGGCAAAGTACGACCCCTCCTCGAAGTTCCATACGACTCACTTCCCCATATCGTATCCTAATATATTCCCTCCACTTTCCCAGAGTTCCAGGGTGTTTTCCAAAGGTCTCCATTTTCCCCCAAAAAACTACCAAGTGCGAGAGGAGGGGTCGAGGGGGGAAGGGGTATAGCGTTCACGAAAGGGAAGCAGAAAAACTGAGAAAAGTTGTTAACTGAAATAATGTTCCGTCAAGGCAAATGAGTTCTCTCCCACTTCAGCGACCAAATACCACCCTGGCTGGGGTAACCCGACGTAGGACATGCTTTGGGTGGAGTTCCAAATGATGTGGAACGAAGTACCTCCCTTAGGATTGAGGAATAACAATCATTTTCCATTAACTTTGCAGGTTTCAGAATTTAGGTACCTTTAGAGCGTGTTCAGACTTCGCGATCGCGCGATCCGGATCGCGCGATCGCGAAGTCTGAATGCGCTCTTACCTTTAGATGTGGGGAGACCAAATGATGCGGCGTGTCTGGATGGATGGGCTTGGCACGGCACCTTACCGTTTTCCTGCAGCTGTTGGAGCGAACAAGCGACAAGACTGTACAAAATCGTTCGCATCAGTCGTTTTCCACCAATTGTTGTCGCTTACATGCTCCAACTGGTGGAAGACGGATTTGGCGCCGTGCCAAATCCAGCCTCACTGACATGCCCCATCATCCGCGGCGAACAAGACTGTAATACAACTCTAACTGAATCAGCGTCACTGTGGAACATTCCCTTTGGTCAACTAATGCAAACGTAGGAAATTTTTGAATCGTTACCTCCGGACGACTAAGCTGGATTACTACCGGTTCGTCCATCACAAGCTTTTTGCCCTGAAAGCATTCATAATGTATTTTAAAATAGGATCTAAGCAATAGAACTCGAGCCAAATACAGTTTAGTTGCACATATACACATAATTATTCCAGGTACATCCATAACATCCAAAAGTTTTAATTACTGCACCGATCTTCTTCGAAGCCCAAAAAATCAAATCGGCTGACACCCTTATACTTCTCCTAGGAAAGGTGGAAAGTACATGTCACCAGTTGCAACGCAGTTCGCAATCCTAACTCCAATATACAAATATGGAAAAGGTAAATGTCACGCGGCTTGAAAACACCGTTTACGGTTGAAAAGAAATGCCAGCAGTAGTAATGAAGTCATCCTGTTCAAGTGAAAGGACCGCTTACTCCAGTACAAGCTCCGAATAACATAAAATGGCAAAACAACTATTCTAGAAGTAATTTCATTTAATGTGTCAAGGTTTTTCCAAACGTCTTTTGATTGCAATTACCGTGATTGCGTACCCATTCCCATGAACTACGTTTGCAGAGGAACAACCGTTTCATGCTGCGAATTCTCAACTGTTTCTTTTCTCCCTCTCAATGGTGTTTTTTCCTAATATTTCGTCTAGATTCGACCCGAGGTTTCCTAATCCGCGCTCGTGGAAATAATGCTTCTTTTAAGGTCCCTGTTTATGTCATCAAGTGGAGGTCTGTCAAATGAAGAATTTCTGGTTTTGCAAGAGCAGCTGATTGCACTGCGAAATAGGAACTATGAGCTCCAAGAAGCATTGCAGAAGAAAAACCATGAACTCACACAGCTTAGTTCACCTCGATCCGAAGCTCTACAATTTGCAAATAAGGTTCAATCACGTCGAACTAGTTAAATGTCACTTTCTCGCTATACTTTTCTACATTTCAGCTTATAAACCGCCGTGAAGGGAGTAAGGAGAAGGAAATAACCCAGAGATATGAAGCCGAGCTAGATGCTTTAAGAATGAAGCTCACCTCTCAAGAAGAGGAGTTTAGGTTGCAGCAGGAGACGTTAATAGCTGAGCTAAATAAGGTAATAACTTTCTTCGCTTTTCAATAGCTCTGGCTCATCGTGTCAAACGTGCGCGTCTTTTCTTTACGAAGTATTGCACGTTTCCGAAGAAACCACGGAAAGGAAAGACATTCACTTGATATACCATATAGATACATTTGAAAAATATGCAATTTGAGCAGGATTGCAATCATTTTTCCATTTTAACTCCCAATTCTCTGTCAGGCACTGTTCAAAAGCATTAAATACGTATTGATCAGAGAATCGCCAAACGCTCTGGAGGTCGCCGCCGCGGTTCGGCGGCAGGGCGAAAAACAATAGATGCGTATCTTTCGCTGGCCGCCCTAAAGAGAAACGTCAGTGCGGTCAAGCTAGCGTTTTACGACCGCCGAACCGCCCGTCGATTCGTATCAAAATCGTTTCGCGCTACCGTCGGACTCCGAACCGCCAGTGGGCACGTATCGAAAGCTTTTCGCGGAAACGTTTTTTTCGACAGAAACGCAGGGTCGCAGACTGTGAATGCCTTATAGGAAGTATCAATGAGGCATTGTTCAGAGTCTGCGACCATGCGTTCCTCTCGAAAGAGACGCTTCGGCGAAAAGCTTTTGATATGTATCGATTAAATGTTCGTCGAAGAGTCCAGAGGTTGCGCGGAACGATTTTGATACGTTTAGGCAGGCCTTTCGGCGGAGCGGTTGAACGAAAAGCGCTAGCTCGACGCCTGGCGTTTTCCTCTGGGGCCGAACCAGCGAAATCAATACGCATCTATTGCTTTTCGCCGAACCGCGGCGGCGTTTCTCCAGAGCGGTTGGCGATTCTCCGATCGATACGTATTTATTGCTTTTCGCCGAACCGCCGTTTCGTCAGGGTCGCAGGCTATCAACAGTGCCTAATAGTCAAGTCGCATACGTATGATTTCCTTCCCGCGCTTTCAGCCATACACCCATTCGCAGTGTAAGAATGTTGCCGTATGAGAATTCTTTATAAGCTTCTTACAGATTGTTGCCCAAAACGAAACGCTGAATAAAGAACTGGAGCAGTTCAAGGCCGATGGTTCAATCTACTCCTCTCCTCAAGCAGGTTCGCTTTCCTTCTGAATGTTGTATACAGTCAGCGATCACAGCTTCATAATATGCATTTTTGGTGCTAACGTATTTGGGGGGGGGGGGGGGCACGCGGCTCGCGGCGAGTGATGACTCATCGGCTCTTCACTCATTGACATACTTAGAGCGCTAATCTAGCAGCAAAATTAGAATAAAACAAACAAGATTCACCGAATACTTGCTGAGAAATCCCACAGAAGCTGAGAACAACAAATGTTTGATCTTTTGTAGTCAAGAACGGTCAACATCAAAAAGGCAACAATCGTTGGTAGTTTAGGCAAAATCTTCCATCCTACAACTGTTTCTTCGCACTTTTCAGCGTTAACTGCTTAAGCTTTCAAATATAGCTAGGACGGTGTTATATCCATGTCTTAAATGAGGTTACTTCTATTTTGCCGAGGAGGAAGCAGAAGAGTCGATGAGTCATCACTCGCCGCGAGCCGCGTGCCCCCCCCCCCCCAAATACGTTAGCACCCATTTTTTGGCGCGAACCTAGTTGAAGGGAGTCACCCTTCCAGAATGGGTTGACTGCGGTGACTTTGGAAGGCGTCGGCGCTATTGTTCTCGCAAATGTAGTGATCTCTTCGGCTGCGTTGATATTCAGCGTACGGCAGCATTTTGACCATCCTCCACTGCCCGCGCCTAGGATAGTATAGATAAGCATCTAGCTGGCGCCAGCGTACGCCAGAACTACGAAAGTATGGTTATCGAGTTAGCGTACACCAAAGTACAGCAGCGTTTTCGCTGGCACTTTTGCTCAATCTCAAGTTGCCGAACAATATCCATCTCTCCTAGTCCCTAGTGAACGCTGACGTTTGCTAGGTCGATATACACACTTTCCTAGTATCTGGCATACGCTAGAGCGATACCTACACTTTCTTAGTCGCTGACCTGGCGTGCGCTCGAAACGCTACACGAATACGCGAAGTTCTTCTTTTTCCCAGGTCGTGGTATAGAAGAACTGGGACGAGGAGACCATCACCCAGTGTCGTCACTTCTTGAACTATCTTAGCCCCCATATTTGAATACAGTTTCAAAGGTCTATTTAGCATAATTACAGGGACGCCGTGTGACGCACAAACATCATTTGTGGAACTTTATCATCCTGCTCCCGTAACGTCTCGTGACCCACCCACTGAAGTTGCAATCGCTTCGAAATCTTCTGTTGGCACACAGTGTGATGGAGCTGATGTACTTCATGGTGGCACTGGTAATGGTCTCCGACTTTGGCTTTTTCGTTCAAATAGCGAATTCTTTTTCACCATGGACTGCAAATACCATTTTTTTAAAACACATTACGACCGCCGTTTTGCGAGGATTTCCGCATCATTTCGTTACTTTTCAAATCGATAATCAGCATTTCATCTGTTTCTTCACATTCCTATGAGATATGTGTATTCTGCGCCTAAAAAACGTGTTCCGGTAGTTTTGGGAATGAAGAGATGTCAAATAGAGCACAGGAAACGGTGCATAGAGGAAAATGCATGTCACCCGTGTGTCCGCGGTCCGGAAATTGTTAAAGATCTCTCTTTCAAAATCCTTTCCGTCCTTCTCGTTTGACATGGGGATTTATTTAATAAATTTTTCTTGCTGTGCAGGAAACAGGAGCTTATCCCCTGAGTCCATACTTTGCGACTCGAGCCGTTCAGTCGCGAAATTTGGGAATCGCCCTATTGCGACTGGCTGAGCTCCATCGTTATCGTTGGATGGCCACAACTGCCATTTTAACTACAGCCATATAGAGAATAACTTCTCTACATATTTTTGTATTTCTCTTACATGTAATCCATTTGCGCTAAACTCATTTTTCCTTGTCCCTCATGATGACTCATTTCTGTAAGCGCTTCTAAGCTAATCAGTTGGCTGATCAGTAGCATGAACTTTCAACATAGTGCACTGTCTGTAGCTTCATCAAATGCCAGCTCGGGACCCGCCCCTTTCTGTGCATAAATAGGGCCGAGCTGTTCGCTTGTACTGTTTACTCATTTGCACTTTCAGCTTTCACTACCGTAATCCATTTCCACTTTTCAGCTTTACTACCGTAATACATTTCGCCTTGTTATTTGTAAAGGTTATGAGAGATAAAGTTTAATTACCCAAGTTTGAGGTTGCTACATCTGTGACGAGAAGACCCGCGTGGCAGCAATCTCTATTGGCCTCAATAGCTTAAGCCAGGGTTATCTCGAACATTGGGTCCAAACGGTGGCACGCCACCAGTCACAGTTGCGCGACTGAAATGATCAAGTGGCGAAGTATAAGCACAGCTCCACTATTACTTATTATACATCATAGAGTCCTTTGTAGTGGTTTATGTTGCTGTCTATGCAGTTTTATAGGAAAGGGGAGATGGTCCTCTGTGTAATTAAACGCTAGGCACGCTAGCAGTAGCTAGTGATTGTGGTTTTGCCTTAGCGTTTTCCATAGCTGAAATCTGAAAGTATGGCCCAGATATATCGGCTTCGAGTTTCCGCAATTGCTTTGTCTAAGCACCGCAATTGGTGCGAACTGCTCAGTTTTTCTTATGATGTTCTATCTCAGAGACCCTTCAAGACTTGATATGATCCATAACTATTTCTTCAAATAAACCAGAATAACTTTTTTGAATTTATCTTCAGTAGAAACTTCGCCGCTCATCAGTTCAAAAAGCTCGACTGGTGAAAGTTTGAGGTACACCAAATGGACATCTTGGGAAAGAAATAAACTAGTAGTTGTTGATGGCCATTATTTATTTTGTCTACTTGTTTATTTATTTTCTTCACATTGTCCTACTGGATATAATAGTTTTTCGGTAAAAACCTTTGGTCGTTTTTCTTAGAACATTTTCCTTTTTCAGACAACAATATAGCATCATCAGAGCCACAAAATGAATCGAAGTCATGTCAGACTGATGAGGAGGAAGTCGTATCAGTAATGGAGAAGCTACTAGAGTATGAGGGAAAGTGAGTGATTATTTCATCGCGTTCCTGGAACGGCGAAGCTTCCATTCACTTTACCTTCTTTTTAGCATCATCGTTGTTAGACACTTTGAGCACATTGTGCAATCACGAGTCAGTAGTCTTCCTAATGTTGTTGTCTAATTGTTTTCGGATTCTTTTTTCATCAAAGTTTCCAAGGAATCCGAGTTTCGAGCAGCATGATGGGCTGTGGGCTTAAATGCTTACGACAAGACCGTAATCAATCCAATAATGAAAATGCAGCAAAAATCCGTCCAGGAAAAGTACCTAATGTGGGATCAGTAGCTCAGTGCTTGTACGAGTACACAGCGATGAGGGAGAGCATAATTGGACGAGTTTGCACTTGTTGATATGGCCCTTATCACCACTTTCACCATTCGAATCTGGAAGAGTTAATAGCGACACAACAGCACCACCAAATAGCAGACAGATTTGCACTTTGGATAAGTATAGCGCATAGGCGGGGAATCCCTGTTTTCGCGATCGCGTGGCATCTTTACCTCGTATGTCTGAGTCGCAGACGTGGTACATCCCCCATGCTTGCGGGCAGGACTACCTTGTCCAAGGACGACCTTTGGCTGCAAGGAAGGTGGGGCGTTAGAGTAACGCGAAAACGTCTAACTTGGTACGTCTGCAGCGGGCACTAAGGCACCAGGGGGCTGGAACTAATGTGCGGCACCTGCGTCTGCCAGCAATTCACTGCAAGCGGATAGATGTTTGCGTAAGGAAGCAGGCGACCCTTAAGGTTGAGTTCTGGCTAAATCTACTCCTGAAGAGAACGTTCCTTCGAAAGTGGTTTGAACTTCACATATCTGAAGGATTTCTTTTCATTGCTGTTAGGATTGTAGTCATGATCTCCTCAAACGACAGGGTTTGTGACGGGGGGGGGGCGGTAGTGAGATGGATCGCGGCCGAAACAGCCTTTCCGCACGTTGTTGTGGACTTAAGTGGCGTCATCGATGGAAAGGCCACCTTGGCAGAGCTGCACTCCACGCTCCCGTCGAACGTCCTATCGTTTGCAGGGATTATGACTGTAGATGAATTGTCTGCTTCCAGAATGACTGAGCTCAGAAGATCAATAGAGGAGCTTTCTTCGGAAAACACGAACTTGTCATCCATTGTTCAAGACAACGAAGCTAAAGTAGTTTCACTACAGGAAGAACTGAAGCTGGCAAATATTAATCTTGCCAAGGTACTTTTTCAAGTCTTTTAAGTTTATTCTCAGAATGCAGACTTTTTTTCAGAAAGATGAATTTATTTCCTGCGCCTTACGGTCCATATCGAATATGAAGGATAATGCTGGACAAGAGTGCATTCCCTTCACCGAGCAATGCATTGATATTGATAAACTAAATAAAGAGGTCCAACTCATCCTCGAATGCATTTCAAATGGCCGCGCCGCAACTGCTAAGGTTTTTGAAGAGAAGGTGAGCTCTTGAAGTTTCATAAAGTAAGCATTGCAGACCGCGTCCACACTTCGCGATTCCGTTCGCGCGACCACGAGGCGTTTCACCCCTAAACGATGCGCCCCCGCTACGGCAGAATTCAAATTGGCTGTGGATGAACGCGACCCAGTTTGAATTCTGTCGTTGCGGCACGGCACCACTTGGCGTTGCAGGGCTTCCCGTCGTGGCTGCACAGTCCAATCGAGCGATCCAGTCGCGCGAGAGCGAAGTCCGGACGCGTTTGTCTGTACTGGATAAGAAAGAGCTACATAGATCCCGCAATGTTTATTTTCCAGACCGCTTTGGAAGAATTGGTATCAGACCTGCAGGCAAAAGTTGAGGCTTCGCAAACCAGGCTCCTACAAGTGGAAGAAGCTCACGAAGCAGAGAGAGCGCGCGCAAATGAAGTGCGTTGTGTCCATCATCTCAAAATTCTAATATTCGCTGATGACTGACTTTTTTTGAAGGAGATCCAGTCACTCTCTGAGAAATTGCTCAGAATGCAGGATGCTCATGACTCCGAGGTGAAAGCGATAAGAAGGGAATCTGCTACCAATTGCGATGAGGTTTGATGGGTGAGAGTTTTCAAATGAGTTCCGCTGAACTTTCACCTTACAGCTTAAAGCGAAGATTGCTGCATTGGAAGAATCAGAAAGCAAATTCTCTGAGGACAAGGTTTTGCTACTCGAAACACGATATCAGCTGGTGAGAGATGGTTCCTTAGTTATTCAAGTGCTTAATTCCGTTTTCATTTTCATAAGCCTTATCCTTTAAGGAGTTAGCTGATCGTGAAAAATTGATCGAGAGTGAAAGAAAAGAAATGCACCGGAAGCTAAACTCTCTGGAGGCTTCCTTATTGGCTAAAGATGAAGAGAAGGTAATTTGTTTCGATTTGTCTGAAACTGGATCATTTGTATGCGATTATTCTACTCGATGAAGCGTATCTAGTGCAGCGGCAAGTGGCACGCTTTCCAATCACACGGTCCGAGGATCAGATCCTGGGTCGACTCCCGCCCAGGCCAACCAAGCCTTCTATCCTCCGGGGACGGTAAATTGGTACCAGATTCGTCTGGGAGGATAAAACACTGACTTGTACATCGGCCCCCGCAAGTCATTGTATTGGCCACATCGCATTCAAAAAGTCATTACTATTCTGGAAGTAAAATTTGTGCCGCATCCCATAAGGGATTGATCAGCTGCGGAAACTTTATACTTTTATTACTTTTTACTCCATTTGAAACCATTCTCTATTAGGCGTTAGCTCTGAAGAAACAAGCGGCACTCATCAAAGAACTGCAACGTGCTGTTAAAGAAGAAAAGAAGCGTGCTGAATCTATGGAGAAGCTTGGTCGATGTTCTTCGGAAGAAAGAGGATGGCACTTAGTTGGAGAAACAGGCGCTAAAAGTGCACAGGTAAGCTTCACGGTGCACTAAGCACGTGCTTTTCTTGTTCCCATCCACTCATCTTATCGTAGCACTCACTCAGTGAGATCCTTTTTGATGACGTCTCTCCATCTTTTCTATGGAATTCATACTAGTCGCTTGCCCTGCAGCTCGAAGTCCAAGGCTTCCCTTGGGAGGCGGGAGGTCCCTGGGACTTCTTATGTTAGTACATACCCATGCCATCGCTGCTCTCGTGCCTTCAGCTGGATCCGAGCCGTCTGTGATCATAGTCATCACACTTTCTAACTCACGGAAATTGAATGTGCGAGGAACAAAGAAGTTGAATGGTTTTTTCTTTCACTGTGAAATGGATGCTCCCTTCTTCACTGTGAATTGATCATCTTTTGCTGGCCCTTCTGCCTAAATATATATAATGAAAATGCACAGAGATCATCTCAAGTCTAAGGCAGAAAGCAGAAACTCGAAACTTCTGACCCCCATTACGCTCTATATTCCTTCTCTAATTGTCGTTGATTTCTCATACATTTCGGGATGTGATGATTTCAGATGTGAGCAGAGCCAGAGCAAATGACGACGGCTACGATTAATCCCTTTTTGAGATGCGGCTCGCACATTACTTCTCATCAAAGCCTTACTGGCATTCTGCATGCGCTTTTGCCTACAGTTCAAATTTGGCAGTTTGTTGTGCTGGCAGATGTGCAAGTCTATGTTTTCCAGATAACTCTTGCATGACCCGGAATGTATCGGGAGTGGGGGGGGGTCTGACCGAGATACGACCTAGGTCTGCACGCGTGATAGCCAGCATTTGTCGTTGCACCGCGCTCGTATACTATAATACCATCTCGTTCATTTGATCTGCTAAAGCAGTATGAAGACTAATATGGAATAGTTCTAATTCACAGTAAATCTTTCAATGATTTTTGTTGACAGATGTGATGCTAGGAGTTAAGTTACATTTTTCGTAAAAAGTTTTTGTTTAGACCCTTGATGGTGCCGACAGTCGCAGTGTATCGTCAGCAAGTGCCCTAGAGTCGGACAATTTCGAACTCATTAGCCGACTGACGTCGCTACAGCGAACACATGCGGAAACCCTGGATCGTGTAAGTCGTCTGATAGGACAGACTCATTATTTCTGTATATTTTAATAAATGTTTCAGATAAACGCACTAGAGAGCGAAAATGCTAGGTTGCACTGTGAAATAAATGAGAAAAGTGAACTTATCGAGCACTGGATTAGAAGGAGACCGCTGGCACAGGGAACAGGTGTCACGACGCCATCGAAAACGGAAGGTGAAAGAGCTCTTCGTAATTTACTCATTTATTTATTTGTTAGCGCATAGCGTGTCAGTGAACCCAGAGAATGGATATCCGCAGGAGAGGAGTAGTCTTTATAAGGAGGCGAAGAAAGCCATCCCTTGACGGGGATCTACGGTTGGGTGGTCGCTTCTGACTAACCCTACCATAGGCTTTTTGACCAGGAACGTGTGAGTGCTAGAAGGCGAACGGCACGAAAAGCCATTCAGCTGAAGAGTGGCTCCGGTAGCGTAATGGATAATGCAGCCGCCCAGTAAGCGGGAGATTGGGTTCGAGTCCCGTCTGAGGTCTGACTTTTGTCCAACCCAGCACCCCTATGATAACTTTCGGAGCGCATACTGGATATTGGGCAACAGTCAAACAACTTTGACTGGGTCTTCTTCGACGAGACTGATGGCCACGAAAATGTAAGCACTGGGTGCTTGTAATATAAAAAGATTTATTGTTTGATAAGTGCTGTTTAACGCCGCAGGGCGCGATCCGAAAGTTGTAACGAGAGTGCCGAGTTTTGGGCAGTCAGACCTCGGGGAAAAGATTTGTCGTCTTTCTCGAGCTTCCAAAATTTATAAATTCTTTTCTTTCTGCTTTGATTTTATTATGTTCATTCAATAGGTACTTTCCGAAAGCTGCTGCTTTCAACACTGCCTAGTGATGAGGCTACGAACGACATTAAAGAAATGAATAAAAAGCTTCAACGTATGCTGGAGGAGACTTTATCAAAGAATATCATCCTTCAAAGGGTGAGTTTTCGATTCTCGCATTTTCTGTAGAAATGAGTATTAGTGAGAGACAGGCCAGGCCCTATCTTAGCTACTAAAAGCTTTTCAAGGAAAGGATGATAACGATTCTGTTGGAATATTACTTCCCTTTGAAGTGCTCAAATGTATATTTCTAAGGATTTTAGGATCTGCAAACGCTTTTGGAACGTACAGAAATGTGAACCTCTACGTGCCGGTCCGCATGGTGCGAATCAAATGCTAGGCTTCAAGTTTCTTTCACTTTTGACGCAGTGAGCTGAAGACGGCCTCTCACTTTTCGAACATTACTCACTTTATTCCTAATTTTTCTTGTATATAACATCATGGAACATTCCAATGAGTCAATTATCAGGCAGCTCTTGAAATATAATTATTCATATTTATTTCTTGCTCGTGTTTTTTTCCAGTCGCAGTTTGATACTAAGCATTTGAATCGTTTGCGCTCTCACCATATAATATGTTAAATAATAGCAATATATGCCCAGTATATTCTAGCATAACCGATGCAAGAATTATTTGGATTTCTAGTCGCTTTCATGTGCAGCTAAATGTGATACATTTCCGTGTGCAGTAAGTGATTTTGGAGCTAAAGTGGTGGCATTTCCCAACTGTTTTACATTTCCCAGCACTGTGAACTCTCCAGGGAACCATAAATATCTATAATGTCTATTATTACCATAAGAAAAACCGCAGCTACCGCTATATTAGCTCTAAAAATGCAGATGTCAGTGAATAAGTCGTAGTGGATTTTCGTAGTTCTCACACACATAATATAGAGCATAAAAATCAATTGCTACTGCATGGCTTAGCATCCTTTTCAACCTGAAATTTCATATATGTAGATTTTTATTTTATAGATCTCTCCAGCTCCTTCATAATGTTGTCATAATTTGTCCTTTTGTATAGTACGCCCATATTTGTGTAAATGCGTTAATAAAGTTTTACGAATTCATTGTTCTCATCTGTGGATGGATCGTTTTCAACTGTACTTCGTCAATTTCTGGTATTTGAAAAAGTTTGGGCATTGTGATCAGCAGATGAACAAATAAGCTGAAAATGAAAATGAAACTCAGCTGAAAGTTCTTAGGAGATGCTGGAAATAGACGATACGCCTGGAGGAGTCGGCTCGGTCGAATCATCACTTCTTGATCAAAGCATAAATAACTCTGGTGTTACTGTTAATCAGGTCGGTTCATAGTTATATAGAGGAACATGTGTGCTCAATAGGCCAAAATTTTCTGGGCCTGTGAACAGAGATTCATGACGCTTCATTTCATTCAAGTTTGCGCGTATGGTATTAGAGCCTAATTTCAAGCAAAAACGGTGGTGTGGGGTGCATAAGTGCAGGATCTCAAAGTTTCGGTCGGCCGCTGAGCGTCTCTCGTTTCCTCTCCCTCCTTCTCTCTTCCCTCTTCCTTCATTTCCTCCTTCAAATGTTCGGCCAGAAGATGCCATACAAAACACCTCTGCATCCGCGCAGCGGAAGACGTCTCGAGAGGGTTTGTGCTTCGGGTCTTCATATTTATCTATCCTGTTTGTCCGTGGAACGGCGAAGATGGTATAGTGGCAACTTGGAGACTTCTTTCGGGAGGATAGGAACACCGACTTGTACATCGGCTGGCCACCGCAATTCATTGTATAGGCCACAACGCATTCAATAAAACACTACGATTCTGAAGAGAAAGTGGGATGCGTGCTGCATCCCAAAAGAGATCGATTCAGTGAAACTTCATCCTCATTCTTAATATTTACCTTTGGACGAGTAAATGTACGTGAGCTGCCGCAAAAGCACTAACGAATGAAACTTGGCTCTTTACGATCTTTAGCCTCTGTTGAAGTTGATTCCTTCTCAAAACGCTCTTAGGTTGTTCTGACTCGTATTTTATGAGAGGCTCTCAGAGAAAATCTGTGAAACTTGCGCATTCTAGTAATGACGAATGGACCGTTTGAATGAAAGTTCTTCTGAGTGCCACGTCGTCTGCAGATATGACTGAGCGTTTGTTTTCTAGATTGAAGTAGAAGAGGAAGACGCAGTTGAATCACCAGTGAGTGCTGAGTCGGTGCTTGATCGTCTTTCGAAATTTCCATATCAAGTATTTGTCTTATCTGAATATGGAAGACCTATATTTGTGTCGTGAGTTGTTTTTCGTTTTAATTTTTTCATTGTGTCAATGAGACATCCTTCCTGAATAGCAGTATGATAGGCACAATGTTTTCGTAAGCAAGTCGATCAACGCGGACCTATCCATCATTTATTTTACTCAAGGGCATTTCTTTCGTAGCGCAACAGTTCTGCCACCTAGTCTGAAGATGGCTTGGTCGCCTGATGGTTTTAGGCTCGACTTCCACTTAATAACCTTCCAAAAATCCGACCCTAAGAACAGAGTCTTCATCGTGATCAACCCCTTTGTGAGATAAGCATGCATTCTTATTCCATTCGGAAGCGCAGGGGCTTACTGAATGCGATGCTTTATACAATGACTTGCGATTGCCAGCCGTGTGCAAGTCTATATTATTATCCTCCAAGACGAATCTGGTATCAATTTACCGTCTTCGGGGGGGGGGTGTAGAAAGCTTATTGGCCTGGGCGAGAGACGACTAGGGATTTGACTTCTGGACCGCGCGCGTGGTAAGCGGGCCATTTGCCGCTACATCACCTCCGCCTCAACAACTCGCTCGTAGTGGCGAATATCTGTTTGTTTTTTTGTAGAAGACGGATTCAGTCAAACTTATAAAACACCCTGCAAGGTACTGACGTTTCGCTTTGTCCTCGAACGAATTAGGGCTTTGTTCAGATGTGCCTTTAAAAATCGTTTTATAGATGTGGCCATGAAGATCAGCTGTGCTCTCTATTCGCCTTGATAGGAGTTTTCGTTTCAAGAGTAAAATTGTGGGGAGATCGACTACTGCAACTTTCTTCGGGTGATGTACATGTTCGCTTTTGCCATCGATCATCTCTTATACTATGCATAGGTGGGTTTTACTCGAGCTTTGCATCCTAGTGAAGAAGTTTCAGTGTATGCAGCATGTTTTCATTCCAAGTGAAATGATTTGATGCTTCTAGTGTCACGATCTTATGAGCTATTGGATGACCAACTGAATGTACTATTTGACCAGATAGTATCTACTCTCTCAAGGTCACAACTTGACATAGTCTACAAAAAGAAGGGAGATAATTATGATTTGCGGCGACTACTCAGAGGAACTGATAAGTGAGTTGATACTTTCGATAATAAAGGATAAAAAGGATAAAGTCTTCGCCGTTGATCAATCCCTTTGTGGGATGCGGCACGCATTCTACTTCCATTCAGAATCGTAGTGGCTTATTGAATGCGATGTGGCCTATACAATGACTTGCGGGGGCCAGCCGATGTACAAGTCAGTGTTTTATCCTCCCAGACGAATCTGGTACCAATTTACCGTCCCCGGAGGGTAGAAGGCTTGGTTGGCCTGGGCGGGAGTCGACCCGGGATTCGAACCCGGCGCCGCGCGAGTGGTAAGCGCGCCACTTGTCACTACACCACCTCCGCCTCCGCCAGACTTTCGATAATACGTCGATTAATTACTGCTCGTCTGTGAAAACTCGAACCTTGAGAGGTTGTGCAGCGTAGAGGTGAAATGAGCATGAAAGGTTTTTGACCAGAGTCATTTTCGTTCGAGATGTGCACAGACATTTGTGTTTGCGTCAGAGTCCGCGGGACGGTTTCTTGTGAAGTGAATTAGAGGTGACTGTTTCCTCATGATAACTGGTACGAGAGTTTTTTTAAAAGAATGGGAGGGAAAAGAGCGCATTCAGCCGAGGCGTTCTGCTATACGTAAGTTTCGTACCGATTTTTTACGTCTTCGATCCAGTGGTTTTTCCAGCGCCGAGTGCAAAAGCGGCTTAAAAGAACTCGTTTGACTTTTTGGGACGATTTCATAAAGATGTCACTACTCACTTAAAAAATGAAGCTAGCAAACCAATCAAGACGAAACTATAGGTTGGATGGCACAGGGAGTGGGAGCATTAACAGGGCAAGTCTGGAGGTGAAAGATATCACTGCTCTACTTTGGGGTTCTTTGAAACTGACTGAAAGCTGTGCAAGCGACAGGCTTCTTGGAGATTTGCAGTTCACCTCCTCTTGGAAATGAGACATTTTGTTGACGGGGAAGCACCCTCCATTCGTTCTTGCAATCGGGTATTTGGCTTTGATGAAACACCACGTTGTGCGTTTCTTGCTCTTCAGCATCAGCACCACGCTATCGTGGGAAACGATTCTGCCAAAAAGGTGAGGGAATTGAATACGACGATGTTGATCGGTTGATGCTTTATCCACAACTTCCTATGCGAAAGCGTCTTCTCTGCAATGTTCCTTGCATTTTTTTCTGCAGTTTTTTTTCTGTCTGTGTAAGTGAGCGTTGTGTGAATATGTATGTGTGCCAGAATCTCCTCAGTTGTGAAAGAGCGAAGAGTCAGTGAAGCTTCACTATAGTGTGAGATGAGAAGTGGATCTTTTACAAATATACAGACATAACATTGGAATGGGTGCTTTTGGGCCAGAAGCCACGCCGGCACCAAAGCCGCGGTGGAGCTGATCCCTACTGCTATTGGTACACCTTACTGGTCAAAATCTCCCTCAAAAGTGGAATTGTGAAGATGACTTTTTGGAATTTCGTCCAAGCGAAAAATTATTATGCGTGCCCCTGTGTCGATAAATGCCAGGACAAGTTTGACATGCGTTTTATCGGTTCTTTTGAAGCATAAAATCACAGAAGCTCCTTGAACGGATGTGGAATTTGCAGGTATATGGACAGTAGTGTGTCAGCATGGCGAAGCGACATCTCATTGCTACAGTCAGCTATTCGGGTGCTTCCAATGCAACCATCTGACAGAGACTTTCTCTCATCCACAATGGTTGCGTGTATCACGGCTGCGAAACTTGATGTGAGTTGGTACTCCCATGAGTCTCTTCCACATATTCCACCATCTCTCGTTTTTAGGGGGTTCTTTTCGGGTTGATGATTGCCCATCGACAAGTGGCAGCCATGGTACGTCTGAAACGCTATGCGCTACATCCCCGTGACACACATATTCTCTTGAATTTGATTTCGGGGAACACCTCTCTTCGGATTTCGGAGGCGCAGACGTGGACCCCTATATGTTTGCCAAACTTCAACGACAAGTAATTCCCTCAGGTTGTTTTAACTTACTAGCTGCTGATTATAACACATTCAGAGGTTTCGTTTATGCTTATATTTCGTTTCCATGGGAGGAGAGCGCTGCCTGCCTTATCCTGATCTCTGTCAAAAAGGACCACTTTGACCCACTTAACGAGGTTTTCCTAAAGATTCAGATCTCCACAGAGAAATTCAGTTAACATTTTATATAACTGTTCAGGTGAAAAAGAAAATTGTGGAAAAATTAGAAAACAACGCCAAGTTCTTTCCCAGCTTCAAGTCTTCTGTAGAATCTCCTGTCGCGTTCAGTATATCTCAAGTAAAATATTACACGTTTTTATTTTGTTAATGATGTGTTAATACATCAGCTGTTTTTCTATCAGAACTGTCATTTTTACTCATTTTTATTCAGATTGGTACGGGTAGCGACGTTTTATGGTCATTCGTATACAAAAATCGATCTTCTCGTCAAGTATGTATTTCTGGTGCCAAGTGAGTGTTGAAGAACCAGTTATCCGTTTACCGTTAATTTTTGGGAGCACAAGAATGCATTTCTGGAGATACAGTATGGTTCTGGTCGACACCATCCCGACAGTTATAGCAAGGATGTCGAATGATGGTCAAAATACCCCAGACCAGCCACACCCTCAGGTGTACTCAAGGCATCGGGGCTCGAGGGATTGTTGGACTACAATGTTCGTCCGAGTGGGGGAGGAATTAGCCGTTCTTCTCCTCTCCCTGGATATCTTAAAATTATCTTTTCTTTACAGTACCAATCTATTAAATGGGAGAGCTGAAGGGGCTCTAGTGATGTTATGGTTAGCTTGGTAAGCCTTCGGTCTAGGTTTAAAGCCCTGCTGGGGTTGAGTTTTTGGTTCACAACCGAACTTTCAATACTCTGCTATGCTGTCTGTTTTTACACGTTGAGAATGCAAACCGTATATCTGGAAATCCGACGGGTATTTGGCTGCGTGGAGCGAGTGGCGATGGCCTGCGCGTTGGCCAAGGCTCCATGTGGAAGGAAGGAGAGAGAGAAAAAGGAGGATTGAGCAATAGTGGATGCTATAGGTGAGTTAGTGGTAGTGGTGAGAGAATACAGAAAAGTCGACTATCAGGGCGAATTACTTCAGTAAATGGCGAAACTGGCGAAATAGTTCCCTTCGATTGTGAAAACGACGCAAGCAGCTCCTACGCAAACGTTATACCGTTATAAGGTCACAACCAACTGTTGAGCAATTTGCCAATATTCACCTCAAACTTTCCGTGAGAGCTGTTTGCGTCGTTTTCACAATCGTGGGAAACTATTTCGCCAGTTTCGCCACTTACTGAAGCAATTCGCCTTGATAGACGACTTTTCTGTATTCTCTCACCTTTATCACTGACTTAAGTATCGCCATCACTATCTGTTCAATCCTCTTTTCTCTGTATTTTTCCCCTTTTTCCTTCCACATGAAAGCGGCTGCTGATCAGAGCACAGTAGCGGAGTCGCAGGCCATCGCCTTTCGCTCCGCGGTGACGTCAAAATACCGCACCGCAACACGCATGGGTGAGTTTTCCACGGAGCCTAGGCAGTAGGAGGGCGGTATTTAGACTCGAAAAACTCCTTGCTATCCAGTGCTCCATAAGCAAGATCCATACCTAATCTGCTCACGTTCGTGGTTTAGGTGGTGATTGTGTGGGCAAGGGAGTAAGTACGCATGGATTTATCAACGTCCGAGGCTTCATTCCTTAAGTTCTGCCTTTGCGCGTTATGCGTTCCTCTACTCCACCATAAAAAGGGCCCAGTCCCGGAAAGGAGTAAGAAGTGAGCTCAGTTGTTGAGTATAACAAGTCTAATGTTGTTTTTCGCATTCAGAATGCCTCTGATCTCACGTGCTGAGAGAATCTCTGCCCGGACATTGTATGAGAGAATCTCACATCTGGTGCGAGAGGAACCCCATATGCGATGTCTCTTCCTGAAGCGGAATCGTGACAACGTTCTTGTTTGGGTCAGTTTTTAGCGAAGATTCCGAACTTTTCATGGTAAGGCGAGATGCAGTTCCTTGTTTCATGGCAATACTTCTTCCAGGTGACTGACAAGTTCGAGCTACAGTGCGTGTTTAGCCCATTGGTGTCAGCCGTGACGGCAACCACAATGGTGGATCGCTTGTTAAAGACGTTAAAATATCATGAACAAAGATATTTTATCATACACACACCTTCCTTCTAGATTATATGAAAAAAACTATATGTAAATAAATATTTTTAAAAAAGTGATGGAGCGCAGATATTTTCGCATTACTTGTGAATGGTTGCGAGAACAGGAGCTGTTCATAAACAGTGCAACAATTCATGATTCTTTCTCATTTCTTCAGGAAATAAGCTATCAATTGAAACTTGCTCTATATTGCCACATGATCCCCGGCAGAAAGTCATTAAGTAACAATTTTAACCTTATTTATAGACTAAATAGACTAGTCGACTTGACTCACCGATAAGCTACAGCCTTATCCGGCCTTCATTCCCTCAAGGGAGAGGGCGTGTGATTGGGCGTGTATTGCACGCAGCCACGGCAGTTCTCTTCCACAATTGTTAGCGGGTCTGACGGTATTAGGCACCGTTCGGACTTTGCGAACGAAGCGCTGCTGTCGCGAAGTCTGAACGCGGCCTTAGTGGGTGGAAAGCTTACCGTGGCTGCCCTCCGATTCCTTCCTTCACCCCTTCATCTGAGCCGAGGGAGGTTGGTCGGCACTATTTACCCTTTACTGCCCCAATCTTCCGAAAACAGGCCAGTTTTTGACCGACTTTTTCTGCGTTGGCAGAATTGGCTGAAAATTTGTCCCTGGGGTAGTTTGACCTCCTGAACATGAATATCACATCCGCTAGGCACGAAACCTGCTGGCGCCCGCGCCACAGGCGCCGGCGCCAAAATACCTTAAATCACCAAATTCGCTGAAACTTGTGCAAGGGTAGTCTGACCTCCTGAACACGAATATCATACCTGCTCGGCCTGAAACCTCCTGGCTCTCGCGCTACAGGCGCTGGCGCCAAAATATCCCAAATCACCGGCGCCTGTGGCGCGGGCGCCAGGAAGTTTCGGACTAAGCGAATGTCATATTCGTATTCAGGAGGTCAAAATACCCCAGGAGACAACATTTGAGCCAAATCTGTCCACGGAGAAAAAAGTCGGTCAGAAAATGGCTCAATTCTGGATGGTTGGGGCAGTAAAGGGTAAATAGCGCCGGTTGGTCGATTTAAAGCAGCAAACTTGTTCAATAGAGAAAAAACTGGTTTCCACATCGGTCTAGGTACGAATCAGTAGAAGTCGACTGACTTTGGACCAATAGCGTGGAGAGAACCCCTCCTATCGTCGAAGAGTGTTCAAGTAAGGCTCCATGACTGGATGAGTATTCGAAGAATCGAGACAATGCTGCGCAGTCTAGCGACTAGAGACAAAAGGGTACAAATCAGGAAGATGAGATGGAAAATAAGTGAAACGACAAAGTCCAGTCCTTCACGAAATGGTCGCAACGAGTCACATCTGGCGAAAACTGACACATCTCTTTGCCAGATCTGAGGTAAATTCTATGGGTAACTGACACATCTCTTCCCCAAATAACTGAGGCAAATTCTATGGGTAGCGCTCTTTTGGCTCGAAGATCAACAGTACACTCTCCTCCGTGGACCATGGTCGTTGCATGTGTGGGTGAACGGACCAGTAGCAGTAGCAGCTGCAGTAGTATGCCAGTGTCTCCGCTCAAAACGGCACGGGAACAAGGCATGCCCTGTATCAACACTGCCTCGCACTGCAGTGTAGCCCGCCACACGCCTAATGATAGCCAAACGTGCTACTTGTCTGCGCCGTCTCACTTCCGGGTGTTCTCCATCGCGGAGTATGTTTTACGCTGTGGGACTGGTCTGCTATCCCTGCAAGAGCTGCACCGCGCTGGCTGAGTGCGGAGCCAGCAGAGAGTGTCACTTCATCCAGCCCAGTTTCCATCAGTTTGTCCTGGATAAGGGAAGACAAAGTAAGGATGAATAATGCTCGAATGACCTATGGTGAAATATCCCTGAGATGTTCCTCTATAAGCAAGAGCAAGCATTCTGCCGCATTCTCAAAGGGCATGCCAGCTATCATTGCCAGAGAGCACAACACAGCCTACATAAGCTCAGAGCGACCGCAAATTTCCGCGACACTTGTGTGCAGGTTCCTAGAGCTGTCGCTATAGAAGCGGATAACTCCAACCAAACAGCTCTTGGGGAAACGTCGCTGTGATCCACTATTTTTTTTGTTGGTTCGACCTTACAAGTCAAAGTGAACGTCAAGCACCCTGGGACTGCAGGCCTTCGCTTTGGAGCGTATGTTTGCATGTTCTGTATGTGTCAGTGATCTCCTTCCTCTTCCTCTCCCTAGCGTTAGTCCCGCGCCGTCGCAGGGTCCGCTGTTCTTGTTAGACGTCGCCACTTGTTCCGATCCACTGCCGTGGCTTTCACTTCAGTGAGGTCCTTCTTGATGACGTCCCTCCATCTTTTCTTTGGGGCTCCTCGTGGTCGCTTGCCCTCTACTTCGAATTCCAATGCCTTCCTTATTGGGTGGTCTTCAGGCCTTCTCAGTACGTGCCCATACCATCGCAGTCGCTGCTCTCGTGCCTTCAGCTGGATCGGAGCCGTCTGTGTGAACGTCCTCGTTTCTGACTCTGTCGAGTCGTGTCCAGCCGCAGGCCCATCTCAGCATCCTCATTTCAGCTGAGTGGAGCTGCCTTTCATGGTTCTTGCAGATGGGCCAGCACTCACTGCCGTAGAGCATTGTAGGCCTTACCACCGCCCGGTACACCTTGCCCTTGAGCGTTCTCGAGCACCGCCGGTCGCACAGGATGCCAGTGGACTCCCTCCATTTCATCCAGGCTGCGTTGATTCGGGCCTTCACCGCCTGGTCCACGCTGCCATCAGCTGCTAGGTTGCTCCCCAGGTACTGGAAATCCTCGACCCTTTCGATGCTCTCGCCATGGCGGTCTACGATGGGTTCGGTGCACTCTTCGGAGCTCAGGAACTTGGTCTTCTTTACGTTCAGCCGGAGTCCATTCTCAGCGAGCCTGCCACCGCTGCACTTTGTCCTCTTGCCTGCTGTCCGCTATCAGGGCGATGTCGTCAGCGTAGAAAATGAACAAGTATGTGTTACTGATCTAATTTAACTAATAACTGCTTTGAAGGAAATTGGAAGATTCAGAATATGCAACAACTATAAATAAGAAGCTGCCGCAGTGGTATAGCAGAAACAAGGGTCCTTATAATGTTTTTGAAAGGCCTCCGCAGATTTTAAAAAGGCAAAGTTGATGGAAAACTGGAGAACTACCATTTTGCAGTACTTCTCAGCGCAGAGGTATGAAGGACATTGCAACATGTCATCCCACATTCCTTCACACTCAGCCTTCAGTCTTTCTATTCATAGAAACTTTAATAGAATGATGTCCGAATATAATTTTTTTACACGGCTATGTCGATAAATGTGTATGTACATTCTGGAAATTTGTGTAGAGAATCATAACAAGAACTCGTCTTTGAATAAAAATTTGAGATCATTCTGTAGGAAATGGGCCAGTGAGATAGCTGTCTGCCGAGTGGCGACTGTCCATCGTGGATCCTCCTGCGGGGCGATTACCTAAACAAGCTATCTATAGCTAATCGAAATAATGATAGAA